TCAAAAGAGGAGAAAAAGGCTCGGTATCGATTGAGAAGCACTTGTTTGTTTTATGAATGATGATATTGAGTGCGATACTGCAGACAAAACCAGTCGCACATTTCATCAGAAAATCCAAACTTAAAAAAATGTGCACCCAAGCAGCGCATATAAACTCACAGCAAACCCTGCTCTCACGAAACCACCTCGGCATGCACACCATCTCTTTATTCATCTTGTGCACTCTTGTCTGTGTATATAAAATCAGTTTCTGATGAATTATTTTATATGAGATTTAAGATATTTAAGAATAAAATAAGTCTATATGTAAAGAAAGTTGTATGGGAAAAAAACTGACCTCTCTCAATGTTAATACTCAGTATCTGAGTTTAGAAAATGTCCTTCTTTTGTTTTCAAATGCCTTTTTTCTGTTGCAATTTTAGTTACTTCATAAAGTATGCAGACTCGCCATGTGTTGTGAGACTTATCCTGTCATATCAGAAATAGAAATGCACTACCCATAACAACATTTGGAATGCCAGAATAGAATTTGTCACTTACAGTACGTTTATTATAGAGATGTTTGTTCAGACAGAAATATTTCAATTTAAAAAAGTGACTTCTGCAGAAAAGAAACGAGAAACATTAATGTGATACTCCCTTTATTTGGATGGCAGGCTTTGAATAGTGAAAGGAGGCCCTGGCAGACATCAACGATGATGCATGACCCTCATAGCTTTGCACAGGGCCACTGGAGTTATTTCCAGGGTCTGGAACAAAATGGGATAGTGGGCCTTACTTATGAGTTATAAAAGAGTGGCCCACAATTGATCACACAATATGTGCTCCTTAGATGCTGGCAGTCAGTGGCCCTGGCTTTATAGTTATTGGAAAGGGATTTGTAACAGTATCACAACAAAACATTTGAAACCAGCCTCTCCTGCTAAACCCACATTAAACTGAGAGAACATAGGTCTAGGTGAATTGCTGTACAACATGTGTATTTGCTGGTGGTGTGTCTTAGGAGCAGCCTGAGCTTTTCAGTGTCTGTGAGACGATGTGTTTGGTATCATAGGCCACCGTAGGCCGACTTCTCTGTTGTCATCAGTAGCAGATGTACTGCCCTAAACGAGCTCGCTGACTTCGTTTCGGCTCACCAGACGGCTCCTGGAATATTCACCTGTGGTACTGTGACAAAACCTAAAGCCAGTTTTCACTTTTTTCTACATTGACACAGATTCCAATAAATGTATTTTTTCACCATGCAACGGATGAGAGCATCTTTGGCTTGTGTTTGTGTGTGTGTGTGTCCGCCATGTGTGTGCACGAGCAGAGAGCGCATTTAACTTCTGTGACGATGAATGTTAGTGAAAGAAAAAGCCTGTTTTTATTTCTCAATTCCCGCCGTAATGTGTTTATTTCTTCTGACAGCGTGATGGAGATTGAGATGCCTTACGGAGCCACCACAGGGGAGGAATTCAAATGATAGCAGGCTTGACTGCCGCTGTGTGTGTGTGTGTGTGTGTATGTGTTGTGCATGCTCAGACCTTACATACACATACATGCATAGGCATCCACATGTGCACACATCACCCAGGAAATGAGACAGTGTGTCTTCCGTGCATCACAAATCACACCCAGGTTTGACAGGCCATGAAACGCCTGAGCACATTTAATATGCAGCTGGAGTTTTTTTTTTTTCTTTTCCAAGGCCACATGCCCCCCTCCCTCCCCACCATCAGATTATTCGTCTGACTGAAAGCCATGTGAAATGTCAGACCCCATCTCTCCCCTCCGTCTGCAATGAAGATCCAGACTGAACATGACTACTGCAGGGTGTCCATGAAAGATGAGTCATGGACGTCTGAAGCCAATATCTTTCCAATATATCTTTTTTACTGAATTATTTTGTGTGCTGCAGCGCCAAATGAGCTGCAGTGGTGATAATGTAGATAATTAGTATATAAGACCATGATGGCTTTTATTACCAGGGGTGTCTTTGAACCAATAAGTGTGTTTTTCCAGAAAGTGCTGTTGCTTTCAGCTTACCACAGAGAATCAGTAAAACAAAAGGATGCTTCGCTGGGTGGTTTCAAGACTGCAGGCCGCAATAGGTTGGACTGCGTGGTTGGCGAAGGGAGAAATTGGCCTAGGACGGCATCTGTTTCATTAAAAATTAATCTGGTTTTAGTAACACAGATGTGTGTTTATGATACAATTAACTGTGTTTTAATTTCCTGTTGTAATAAATAGGTTTGTAAATAGAGAGTATGAGCAGAGAGAGGAGGAGACGGAAGTGAAAGTCTGCTCCTGAGAATATATGTTGCATGTATGTGTTTAATTCTGGGGGCATGCATGTGTAATCACATCAGCAGTAACAAGGAGGAATTCATACATAGCCTACAGTCTGATCTGATTTCACTGAGGGTTTCATATAATGATGAAGGAGCCGTATATGTGATCGAGGGCATGATTTTTGAGTCTCTTTGTAGGCCCGTCTCTTGACACTTGTGGAAAGTGTTTTTGTCTTTCATTGACAGAGAGGAGAGAGCTTTTTTCAAGTGCGTAGATCAATCCGACAATGAATGGCACACAAATGGATTATGTTTTTCTATAATGTAGACACATGTATGCTTTGTCTTACGTAATCACAAATCATCTTCAATTTCTCACACGTCGTGTTATCCTGCCTCTGTGTGCCTTAGCCTCCCCCTCCCTCTCTCTCTTTTTACTCCTCACATGTTTAGAAGCACTCTTTCCACCCTTATAACAAAGCCTGCTCCTTCAGCTCCAGCCTTGGCAGACAGGACTTGCGATAGAAGGCTGTGATCGTCATGCTAATGCCGCCCTTGACTTAAATAACATGCTCGAGACTCGCAGGGCGGGAGAGCGAAGCAGAGCTGCAGAGTGAATGGCGGGAGACAGAGAAGGGGGTGGGTAGGGGGGATTTGGATGGATAGTTTGAGGCTTACGAGAAGAGAGGAATAGAAGGAGTGAGGTGGAGAGATCAAAGAGGAAGAGGAGACAGAAAGAGGTGGGCAAAACTTCTTATTAGATATCATCACTTGGTTTCTTGGAAGCTACATTTCTAATGGGATGTGTGTGTGTGTGTGTCCGTAAAATGTCTCTGTGTGTGTTGGGATGTGTGTGTATGAGCTAAGGCTGCAGCAGTGGTGGAAAGTAACTAAGAATATGTTTTCAAGTACTGTACATAACACATAGATTGTACACATGAATATCAATTTACTCATCTATGGGAGTACTACTCAGCCTGTGAAAACTGCTGTATAATGTGTTCTGTGGCTCTGGAGGAGTTTTGACAAGTTAAGAAAATAACCCTGATGATGTCATAATGATGTCATCATTGTTATCTAGACTTGAGCTTGGAGGTTTGAGCCTGTCTTATAAACTGGGGGCGTGCAGTCTAAAAGCTATGAGCATTTACAAAGCTTGGAGGGTCTAACTTAAAACTGCATTATGGGAAATGTAGGATGCGGCTTTTTTAAAGGTTGACTCATACCAGGGACTAATGGTCAGGATATCTCTGCACTTCTGCTACAAGTTTCACCATTTTACTATTATTATTTTAAGTCCTGAAACTTTGCAGAATGACAGTACTAACTCCAGGAACTATACGACAATACTACGTACTTTATACTTCCACCTCCCTTCATTTCAGAGATATTGCATTTTTTTGGTGAGATCTGACAGCTGATAGCTATAGTTACTTTGCAAATTAGGATTTTACATGCAAAATATATGTTATGTCTCGAAGTTACAATGAATTTTTATATTAATACAATAACAATAGAATTTATATGATGATATGACACTCTGTTCATATAATGAGTGCTGTAACTGTGATACGTGAGTCTATTTCATTATAATTCTGATTGCAGTTTCATCTGTAATAGAGAATTTCTACACAGGCCTTTTTCCCAGAAGACATTCTGACATGTCACAGTGAGAAAAGCACGTGTAAACAGTCTAATATTCACTCTTCATTTACCTCTGTTGTACTCTTCACCAACGCTGAAAATAGCTGCCTGCTGTGGGTAGAAATAGTAGCAATAATCCTGTCAACTTTCTGTGGGTTTGTCATTATGAGTGCGCCAACAGTTACAAATTGTTATTTAATCCACTGTTAATATAAGAGCTATTGATTAGTGCAGCTATACACAGATCTGAACACTTCACTGGCCACTCCACTGTGTGATAGCAATAGTGATGATGCAGTAATGGTGACGTAGTAACAGACAGTGACGTATACGTTTACGAAGCATGTTGCTCTGTCATCCATTATTCACTTGGAAGAAAGAGCCTGCTTTTTCTTGCACAGACTTGTACTGTAGTTGTTTGCCTAGCGGGCATAGGATAGGATGTATGCTAATGCAGTGCATAGGGGCTCCAGAAATGGGAAAACAAAAAACAGCTCTATTGGTTTATTTGGTTGTCATAGCTGTGTTTTGCCCCAGTATGCGTCTCCCTCTGCAGAGGTTGCCTTCCAGCCAATCACTATCTCTCAGCTTCTCCACAAGGAGACCTCTGAAGACTTACATCACTTGTCAAAGCACATGAAAGTAATGAACAAAACCCCAACCTATTTTACCAAGCTCAACCCCATTCTGCTATTTCACAGTGGCTTACTGTCAACACAGCCGCACCTGATTTTCAGTCTATGATGTGACAATCCGAGGTAGCTTCTCATTCTGAAGGAAAAAGACTCTCAGTGAGTGACATGTCTGAATATTCCCTGTAACTTGTTTTCTTGTCACAGCCATTGGCCCCTGCTGCGCTGCTGAATTTCCTAATGCATCAAATCCTTTGTGAGTATTGTGAAGCATGCCAAAGACTAAGTCTGGTGATATTGCTGCACTCTGTAACTCAAAGCTGTGTGCTGGGTTCGGAAGGAGCCAGTAGCTGCCAATCTGTG